TTAAAAGCGGACAACGACGAAAAGAAACTGCACCCCAAGCGGGGGCCGGGAGCTATCAATGTCGCCACCGTAGATGGACAGGAAACGAAGAATAAACCCTGCCCCGCATGCAATTATTCCCATTTTCTAGAGAACCGCCGAAATTTTGAGAGGCTGGACGAAGACGAAAAGTGGAAAGTGATTAAGTCTACTCGTCCTGGACTTTGCACCAATTTCTTGATGCAGGTAGGACACCGTTCATACAGGTGTAACAACAGTAAAATGTGTAGAATTGACGGATGCGGAATGAAGCATAACCCGCTTCTACACAAGAACAAGAGTTTTTGGCGCAGCTCCAGAGCCTTCAAGTTCAGGGAATCAGGGCGCGACAAGTCAACCGTCGAACCAAGGAGAAATAGTGAATATCATGGTCATCGACGGAGAAGGTGTTATCAGGGGTTGTGATGGACCTTTGCTCATAGTGCCAGTGATATAATCATTGTACTGGTCTACTATCAGGGTTCCAAAACATAATTTATAAGTGGCAAATATTTAAAATATGTTTATATTTTTCTTTAACTAACTTCTTTAACTTTCTTTAACTGCATAAATGCGTATTTATCATTGCCTTCTAAATTATATTCTACGTCTGCTTTTAGCAACTATAAACTTTTGATCAGAGATTTAAAAATTATAGACGCTGGGAGGAATATCAAGCTCTGGATCTGTTTCAAAATACTTAACAAATTCATCCTATATATATTTTTTTATTTTTATGTTCGAATTAGTTTTCTATGTAATAATATTTTCAAATATTTTTCAAATAGAAAGAGTAATCTATATTTTATTTTTATTATTCATTAAAATACAAAGATGATTAAACATATATCTAACTTTTCAATGGTCAGTGTATAAATCCTCATATTTCTTTATATATCTCATTCTTGATTCAAGTCTAGTTTTAGGTGGTATTTTATCAGATTGCCATTCATTACAAGTCCAAAAGCAATTCAACGTGTAATGCGTTGTTGGACACTGGAGCAAGTAGGAGTATGATTTCCAAAAGCCTGGCTGATGGTGTCGGCTTGAGAGGTAAGAGTTACTCTTACTCCTACAAATATGTTAGTGACACCCAACTTTTTGAACCTAACTCTGAATCAGCGAATTTTGAAGTGTCTGGTGCCTTTAGAGGAGCTCCTTATCACCCGCTAAGAAAAGCCGTTACGGTCAGTTCAATGAGGATGCGGCCCTACTCTATATCTTTAGAGAAGATCAAAGAAGCCTTGCCCCATCTAACAAGAATAAGGGCACGATATATGAAGAACGTGATTTCTGAAATAATCAGCGGAGGGAATAACCCATATCTGATTTTGGTACGAGAACTAGCATCAGGACCTCCAGACGCACTGATTGGATGAAGAACTCCACTGGGATGGACAATCGCTGGTGATTCTGACAACAATGGAAAAACCCAAGGTTATGTAAACTACCCAGCATCTAAATCAGGGTCCGATCGATGTTTACACACTTTGATCAAGTCATTCTTTTTGCTCGAGAACTTTAGTGTAGTAGCCAGCAAGTTTAAGGGAGTGAGCAAAATGCAGAAAAGAGCCTACGACCTTCTTCAGAAGACAACGAAAAAGGTCAATGGACGCTGGTAAACGGATTTGTTGGGGCGTGAGGACGAAATGTATTTGCCGGACAGCTACAACATGGATTCAGGTCGTCTTCGTTCGGTAGAAAAAAATCTGAAAGATCCAGAAATAAAAGAGAGTTATTTGGTCAAGTTAAGGGAATATTCCGAAAAAGGCTACATCCGGAAATTGTCCAAAGATGATATCGCCGCAGGGAATCCGCAGACCTGGTATGTGCCTCATTTTGGAGTCACTAACCCTGTTAGGTTATTATTATTATTGTATTTTATTAATTAATTATAATTAATATTCATAGAATTTTATTGTCACTTATCATCATTCTTTCTGTTGTGTTTTTTCTTCTTCTGTTTTCTTTTGTGTTATAAATACAACTAAATCGCATCAAATCGTAATGTAATTCTCTTTTGTTGTTTGAAATAAATCGAATTGAGTCAGCTCGTTCTTTCTAGAAGAAATTTCAAAGAAAACGTGCTAACATTTTTTAGGTGCCGAAACCCGGGAAAGAAGTAGAAGAAATAGAAAGTTCTTAGAAGCCATAGAAATAAAGAAAGGTAAGGTTTTTAATACTAATCTTTAAAATATGGAAACAGAAATCTTAATTTTTAAATCTCTGATCAAAAGTTTAGAATTGATAAAAGCAGATGTAGAATATAATTTAGAAGGCAATGATAAATACGCACTTATGCAGTTAAAGAAAGTTAAAGAAGTTAGTTAAAGAAAAAGATAAACATATTTTAAATATTTGCCAATTATAAATTATGTTTTGGAAACCTGATAGTATACCAGTACAATACAATAAAGAGGAGATTGGATATTCTATTGGAAAGAGAAATCTGTGGTATCAGGGATCTTCAGATGAAAATACCACACCATTTCACCCTTTCTTCATTATGGTTAGATTTCTCTTCGACTAATATAGTGTGTGATAAAGTTTAGATTAGTTAACATAGTATAAGGTTGTTTACTTACCTATTCAAAGTGACGCCCGTTGTTCTCTAGAGAAAGTGGACATGTGTGGACATGTGACATGTGGCTGTTTGGGGCCTGTCAACTTTGTTATAAAAGTAACCTCCCTTCTTCTTTGAAATATATTTCTTATTTTTAAAGTTGTTCAAAGTTGGAAAGCTGTCAGAATAATAAAATTATAAATTAATTAACAAATTAATTATATATATATATATATTATTAATTATACAATTTAAATTATAAATTAATTGAATAATAAAACATTTATTATGCTTCAAATCCATTTATATTTGGTTACCAGTTCCTTCCCACAGTAACTGGACATCAAATTGAATGAATTTAATGCTCTATAATTGTTATCAAATAATTTATTTATTTAAAGTTGGAGAAATATATTTAGTTCTTCTATCATTTGTTTTACTATAAGAGTAGAATATTAGTTGTTAGTCAGATTAATTGGAGAAGTTAGAAGTTTCAAATTTATAATTATATTTATTTTTACTTAGGTACTTGTGTATTGCTAGTTTATTGAAAAACCTTTCTGTTTTGTATAAAAACGTTGTTTAAATATTCTTTATTAAGATTTTTAATGTCACTCATTAAATTAGTTTTATAATTGTTGATTCTATAAAATCTTAATAATTGAACAAAATATACTGCTTTGCAGCCATCAAATGATTCATATTTAAGTCTAGAAAGTTAACTTTTATGTTATTAGTTATCTTTTCATTGTTTTTAAGTTTCAAATATTTAGGATATATTTTCTAAATTACATTATTGAATTGTGGGTTATATTCAAGATGATAAAGATATCTACTTAGCTGAATATATGACAATTTACATCATTCTGTAGAAAGAATTCTCTTTCATACCAAAAAAGGAATAAGTTGGCTAGTAGTGGACTGGATGTAATTCCCAAAGGAACACCTTTAGACGGAATATATATTCTGTTTTTGAAATTAATATAATTGAAATTTAAGAAGGTTTAAAATAATGTTTTCGCTGTATTTTTATCTAATTTAAATTTTTATATTTGTTGTGAATAGTTTGAATATGGTATGTTTGTCATTAATGGATTCGTTATTAAGCTATGAATTTTATTATTAACGTCTTCTAAACCTATGCTAGAGTAAAGATCTTCAAAATCAAATGCATGAATTGTATTGATCTTTGGTAGATTGTTCGTTAATAAGTTAATAATTTACTCATTAGAATCGATGAATTTATAATCATGTTTGTTTGTTATTTTATTTATGATGAATTGAAGTGTTGAAACTAATTTCAAATCTATGTTTTTTTTATGACTGAATTTATTCCTGATGTGATTGTTCTAAATGAGATTGGTTATTTGTGTAAATTAGGAATAATATGAAATTTCGGTATGTTTGTGTTTTTGTTGCAATTTATAATTTTTAGTGAGTTTTCTACATTTTTAATATCTTTTTTTTAAATTTTAGTTTCAGTTGTTATTGTGAAAGTGTATTTACAATTGTTATTAATTTCATTTTTTAGAAGGTCATGATATAAATTTTTACATATGATAGATAAATTATTTGAACATTTATCTTTTGGACATATGATAAAATCTTTTTTTAAGCCTTCAAAAGTGTCTTTCAAGGAAGTAATTTCCGATTCAATAGATTTGTGTATTTTAGTGTGTTGTTATAATATATATGTTATGAATATTTTGTTGTTGTTAGATAAGGCTTGATAAGACAAAGGATCGATAAGATAAAGGCTTGAGGTGCAGTCGTGATACAAAAAAGATAATTATTTACCGTCAAGTAGCCTTTATTACAATTACTTGAGGAAAGATTACATATTAGTTATTTTCACATTATATAGAATTCATAAAGTTAATCCTATATCAGTGATTTATTAGGATAGATATATTAACTACGCATATTTACAACAAAACTGAAAGTCTTTCTAAAAACGATGATAACAAAAGTAAAATTATCAATGAATAAAATAAAATATATATATTTTTTAAAATATAGAAATATTTGAGTTTTTTGATTATATAATATTTCCCCCCTGTGAAAAAGATTTAAAAAAAATAAAATTTCAAAATAAAATTGGTAATTAAAAATAATTAATTGAACGAAATCAATAAATCTATAGAAATAATTAAAAATGAAACAATAAAAATCAATATCCACATTTTTTCAAAATAAACAAAAGAAAGTATGTTTACAAATAATTTATAAAATTATGAAATTATAATAAAAGTTTATATAAGAAGTATTAATGAACGAAAATTGCAATTATACCGCGAATGTTTCTTTTAAACAAAAATCGAAATCTATTTTTAAAGAGAAATAACGATTATTTCTAACTTTAAGGATGAAGTATGATAGGATGAATTGTGAAGAGTAATGACAAACGGAAAAATGAAAGTGTCCAGGGGCGGGAATCGAACCCACAACCTTCTGCTTACCGGGCAGGTGCCATGTCCTTTAGGCTACTCTGGACGTATTTTTCCGTTCGTAAATAATATTTAAAGTAACTTATAATACATTTAAAATACAATATAACGCGGGGGTTCGATTCCCGCCCCTGGACACTTTTATTTTTCCGTTTGTCATTACTCATCACAATTCATCTTATCATACTTCATCCTTAGTTAGAAATAATCGTTATTTCTCTTTAAAAATAGATTTCGATTTTTGTTTAAAAGAAACATTCGCGGTATAATTGCAATTTTCGTTTTACAATCATCAGCCGCATTATTTTGTATTTTAAGAAGTATTAATCGACGATTCATAGCAAAAATGGATATGAGGCAGAATAGGTATTTAAAATTGAGTAATTATGACATTATGCTAGTTACACTTCAAAATATCAAAAAGCAGTAGAAATGTTATTTTTACAAAATATAATTAAAAAATAAAGTGTTTCTGATATATTAACATTTAAATGTATGTGAGGAAATATACAAAGGTATTTCTTAATGAGATGGTTGAGTAATGAAATGCTAATAGAGGAGTGTGGAGTGAAATTAAGTTATTTGTGAAGGCTTAAGAATTGGTGCTGATATTTGTTCTTCATTTTCCATGTCCAAAATATGGCCTTCTTGTAAAAAACATAGTTTATCACCAATATCTATTAACTTTGTGTTAGAATTGCTATTGATTTGCTATTGTCATTTGTCATATGTCATTTTCTATGTTAGTGCTATTGTGAAGTAAAAAATCTGCTTCTGAGTAAAATAATTCAAGCTCATTAGAATGTATAATTTCTGTTTGTTTTCTTTGGGGTAAATTGGGTTTCACAATGTTTGGTGTAATTATCAACATCTCTAGTCATATGTGGCCAATAATAGCGTGGAGAAATTATTTTAGTGATTTGAGTTGTTCCAATATGTCCATAATTTGTATGTACTTTGCTTAATAATTTCTGTCTTAGTGTCTGTGGTACATAAGCTCTTTGAAACCCTTTATATTAATTATAAAGATACCACTTTGTAATATAATTTTACTATTGTTAATTTGTTCTGTTGATTGGTGCTCTTTTAACTCATTATATGTTAGGTAAAATGAGACAGGTGCTCTTGACAGCATGTTTGCTTCTATATTATATACTCCTTTAATATGTTTTATGTCAAAGCTATATTGAGATAGAATTAAGGACCATATAAATAACCTACCTTGTGGGGTTTTTACATTTTTATCCATCTTAAAGGTAAATGATCTGTGTTCAAAGTAAAATGTATGTTGTGTAGGTATGTGTGAAATCTTTGTACTGAGTTAATGATAGCTAATGTTTCAATTTCTGAGGCGGTATAATTCTGTTACAGCTATTCGGCTATATACAATCATGTTCAATTCATTATTTTACATAAATTAACTAAATAAAATTATCCAAAGAGAAAAACAACAAAGCAAAACACACATAGCAAGCATCACAGTTCTTTTTTTTTTCTAAGATTCCTTCTCTTTTTTCCAATTCAAGAGAAAGTTGTATACGTATTTACAAAATTGATCAAAATTGTTATACTTTTCTTTTTTGTCTAAAAATTAATCAAGCTGTCCAATACGACCAAATATACTTTCCTTAAAATCCCAGAAAATTGGGCACTACAGAAGTAGATGTCTCGCGTCTTGAATTTCACCTCCGCAGAAGCATCCTGGTTCCTTCACCGCGCCGATATTTCCCAAAATTGCCATGATCTGTAATGAATTGGATATTATAAAAATTTGGACTGAAAAATCTTGGAATTCCAAATACGAAAAAGCTTCTGAAAATTTCATTAGTATTCTCAAAAATTTCATTCATTTTTGCGTGTAAGAATGATTTCACTATACTTGGAGCATAGTGTTCGTAAGTAATTAGATATTCAATGGACAGTTGAGCTAGATCAAATTTGATTATTCTGGATTCTATATAGTCTGTTAGGAGTGGAAATTCTGACAAACTATGCACACAGTTTGATGAAGTGGTTTTGTATGCTCTAACTGCCCATAAAATGATCTGGTACTGCATGGAGTTCAGTTTTTGTTTACAACGATTGTTTAAATATTTGAAACAAATTTCAGAACCGTATGTAAGTACAGGCCTAATAATTGTTTTAAATAAAGTTAACCTCTTTTGAGTATCTAAACCCCACATATTGCCACTTGGTGAACATTATATATTTTTCATACGTCCTGCCTTACACAGAATATCATTAACATTCGGTGTAAAGTTAACTTTATATAGTTTTACGAAAGTACACCGTATAACAAAAATATCGACGCACCAAGAAGTTGATGTCAGATTAGGACAAAAATTGGTGTATGTAAAGAGCATGTATAGGGGGAAAAAAGATTAAAATTTCAGAACAATTAATTGTTTTATTTCAGAGTTTGACCGTCACAAATTGAGAATGTCAATATGTCGTTGGACCCCCACTGGCCTGGATACAGGCTGCCATCCGGCGTGTCATGGACTGATAAAGATTCCGGGCTAAATATTCAGCATTCCGGGATGGTTGCAATCGCTTTCCCATCACGTCCCAGATGTGCTCCATGGGCGAGAGATCAGGCGACCTTGCTGACCACGGAAGAGTTCGGCAAGTTTGGAGACAATCCATAGTAACACGTGCCGTGTGTGGCCGGCCATTATCTTGTAGAAAAGTAAGCCCGGGGTGATGTGAGAGGAACGGCAACAAAACAGGCCGTAGAATGTCATATACGTACCGTTGTGCTGTCAGGGTGCCAGGAATGACTACCAATGGGATCCTGCTCTCAAATGAAATGGCACCCCAGAACATAACGCCCTATTGTGGACCTGTGTGGTGTTCGACAGTAAGGCCAGGATCCACACGCTGCCCAGGACGTCTCCAGACACATTTGCGACGGTCGTCAGGACACAGTAAGAAACGGGACTTGTCACTAAAGATTATACGTCCCCAGTCAGCGCAGTTCCAAGTTGATCGCTCCCGACACCACTGTAAGTCGGACTTGTCGGTGCACGAGTGTGAGGGGTGGGCATCGTAACGGTCGGCGAGCTCTTAGATTCCGCTCTCTCAGTCGCCTGTTGATGGTCATTTTGGACACTTGTGTGCCGGTCACACGTTGGATGGTAGATAACGTGGATTCCGGTGCTGCGACAGCCATTCTGACAATTTTTCTGTCCTTCCGTTCTGTTGTTGCCCTTGGTCGACCGCTGCCGTCCTGACGTTGCATACTTCCGTTGTTGACCCACTTTTATCAACATCGCCTAATAGCCGCATCACTTCGACACATATGTCGCGCGATTAGTCGATTGGACCAACCAGCCTCTTTCAATCCAATGGCACGACCAGTTTCAAACTCTGACATATGTTCGTAATGAGCACGAATCTTTCGGCGAGGCATTGATACAGTATAAATATGCGTACTGCTAAAATATTAAACGGAAATTCTGAAAATCAGCTCGTGCCGCGCCGAATATTGAGTCTAGAAAGCTCGTACTGGATGCGCAGTTCAGATGAGCTGGAGCTCTTGCTTTGCATAAATCGGTCACCAAATTTCAATCATTTGCATGTTTGGTCGAAACCTCTTTGTAAACGTATTTTCATATAAATCGGACAACTGCTTCTTGGTGCGTCGATTTTTTTTATAGAGTATATATTCAGGAATTTAGTATTTTTTACTAGTTTTATTAATGAATATGTCAAAGTCTTTTAATATAGATTTAATTAAATTATTGAAATTGTGTTTGATCTGAGGTATATATTTATATCCTCTATTTTTTTTTGTTTTCAGTGTTTAGCTAGTTTAAAGATGTTTTTATTAGTTATTCTTACACTTACTACAGCCATATACATGCAACAATCTATTTATTATGAAACTAATTATTAATTAATTCAGCTTACACCTATAACACAGATAATAATTATTTATTTAATAAATATTTTTAAAAATAACAAACTAAAAAACTTAAAAAAAAACTACAAACATTTTAGGATCGGCACCCCTAATTTGTTCTCTAAACTCGCTAAAAATTGTTCAAATAGGAAATGTCCAACTTGCCCATCTTTCAAGAACCATAACACATTTCAAACGCCTAGTAGTAAGATAGTCAACACCATTTATAAATTAACTTGCCAAATTTGTCAACTTTCATATATATAGGACAAACTTGCAATCCTTTAAACATAAGAATCAACTTACATAGAAACCACTCCAAAAAATCAATTGGTAACACATACATGAAACATAACAATAAAATACATAACTTCAACAATTATATTATAGAAATACTTGACATTTGTTAAGACAAAAAAACAACGATTATTATTAGAGAACAATTACATTTGTCAAAACAACACTTTATACCCTTATGGATTTAATGACGAACTTAACCACACATACACACCACAACCATCTGAAATATCAATCTACGAATTTAGTAATAAATACAAAAACATAACTATAATGATAATTCTGTCAAAACCAGAGGTAAAACTTCCAACAAATTAGGCTTTATAAACTTTAATAACTTATTAAACACAAAGAAAATGTACACAAAAAATTCATTGAAATTTTATTAGATATATTATTTAAATTAAATAATAGCAAATTTATAAAACCTAGGGAACACATTAAAATTCACAATCTTTCTAACAGATTAATAGAAATCACACAAGACATCTTCAAATACAGAAAATTTAAACAAAAACTAACCTAATTAATATTATTATCAAATTAAATAACAAATTATTTGATCATTTCAAATTTAATGATATATTTAATGACCAATCAATTAACAGTTTATTTCCTATAAAAGGTTTACATTAAAAACTACCTGGAAATATAACAAATACAGGGTGATCCAGAAGTCCCGCACAACTTTAAAAATTAATAACTCCGCTAATATTTGCGCTAGAGCAATGCGGTTACACCATTGTGTTTAGGATGTAATGGGTTTTTATGGCAAATAATGAAAAATTCGAAATTGATTTTAGTTACAATTTTATACGCTTGATGGCGAATACCATGTGTTATTAG